GCTAAAGGAAAGACAGAAGGGAGGAAAGGGTGTGGAGGACCGATGAATCTGCTTTCTGTTTCACTGCTTGTTAACTTAAGCACATCCATTAGGTTATTGCTCTTTCCATGTGAGTTGCATCTTGGTGTTGTCAGCCTTGTCCACGGCTGCCTTCATCTGTTCCCATTTGTGCACTGACACTGCAGTTCAGAAGGCTGGAGAGGTTAGGTGCTCAGCCTCTTTAGCAAACAGAAGGACCACTCTTCAGTTTTATGTTTATAGGATGGTTCTGTACTGGCTCACACTTGTACCCCAACTTGCTGCTTGCAGAACCAAGTCTCAGCATCACAACACCAGTCCCTCTTCCCTTCTTCATTCAGCCTTTACAAAGGAAAAGTTTTCTGTGGTTTCATTTTCATATCGTAGCCTCTGCGTTGGGCATTAATTGCAACCACTTGTGGGATTTTTGAGTGTGACACTGGTTCACCTCTCAGTCTTCAAAGAGGAAAATACATAGTGGAGGTACTCGGGGTGATGGGGAGTATGGGGGGGATTGTATACCAATGAAAAAATTTTTCTTTTACTTTTCAAAGAGAGGAGCGGACTTGGGTGGATGGGTGGGCAGGGAGAAAAGTACAAGAATGAATAAATAGAAATTCAAAATCTCTGTAAATGTTCTTTAAAAATAATAAAATAAATTTAAAAAATATGAAAATAGGCCCACATGGCAGTCATCTATCTATGAGCTCATGTCTTCCTTCTGGTCATAAGCTCTGTCCTCCACTTCATATAAAATATTCTGGATATTTTGTTCTGGGTGCAGCTCATGGTAAGTTTTTCTTAATTCCAGCCCATATTGTAGAATCAGAGCGCACTTGTTTCTCTTCATTCTCTTTAGAGCTGAGATTGCTGCCCTGACATTAGGGGGGCCTGGCCTGGCCTGGGCTTGGGCTGGTGGCCCTCTCTCAGAGTTAAACTTGTCATCATCATTATCTCTTGATTCTCATTGGCCCTGCCTGATATTTCTTAGCAGCATCAGTGAGTCCTCCATTGCCCAGACCTATTGCAATCCCTATCTACTGAGAGAGGCAAAGTCTTTGGCCTCAGTCCCAAATCTCAGCTTCCTGACCTCCAGCAGTTTGGGGGAGCTTAATCCTCAGCCAGTCTGTCTCTAGCTCAGACAACAGCTTGGCGCCCCCCAGACTTTGCCAGACCAACCTACCCGGACATGAATCTGTCAGAGGCCTACGCCCCCAGCCCTTATATTGTCTGTCTGGCTTTCGCCTTCTTTCCATCTCTTCAGTTTCGTAATCAAGGCTCTTCTCCACCTTATCCATGCTCTGTGCTGTTACTTACCCATTAAAGAGCCTGAAGATTTCCTTCTTTACCAGTACCTGGATCTAATGTTGTGTCTAGCTTGAGTTTCTCTGCCCATTTAGCTGTTAATTCATTGACTACATCCTCCTTTGTGTCCAGATCAGAGTTTATAACACACATTGAAATCTCTTTCTCAAATACATAGTAGTTGTTATTTGCTATTAAATGGGTCCTGACTCAGGGCCACCTCATGGATGCAGAATAAAACTGCACCATAGGGAGCAGCTTTCCAAAGCAAATCACCTTTCAAAGTAGGTCACCAGGCTTTTCTTCTTCTTCTTCTTCTTTTTTTAAAAAAAATGAATTATTTTGTATGTGTGTACCATCAAATCAGATCTGATTGGTACAGGAGGAGATTGCCCCTCCTTCTCCAGCAGAGCATCTGGTGGATTCGAACAGCACATCTCTGAGGTTGCAGTGCAGCTTCTTGCCACTAGGCTACCAGACCTCCCTCAGACCTTTCTTCTGAGGCACCACTGAGTAGATTCAAATTGCCAGCATTCTGGCTGTAGGTAAATTGTAAAGTGTTTGTGTTATCCAGGAACTCCTAAAAATATTCACTGCTATTCACTAGAAGAAATTCTTCCCTGAGAGAGAGAGAGATGTAGGTGCTGTGTGGAAGACAAGGAGGTGAATTATTTAAATAAGGACATTTGTGAGGATTCATTATCATTTACCACTCTATCCTCAGCACCCAATTCAATGTCCATTGATTAGAAAGTGCTAAACAAGCATTTTTTTTTATCTAATACAAAATTTTTTAGGTAGAATTTTTACCCTATTTTTTCTTGTGTGCCACTGAGTCAAAACTGACCCATAATTGACCATCCAGGGGGTTTTCAGAGGCAGTATATCACATAAGGGGAGATTGCTCATCCTTCTTCCATGGCGCAGCTGATGGACTCAAACTACATGCCTTTGGGATTGAAGTGCAGCGTCTTAGCACTAGGCCACAAGAACTCCCTATCTGTTATTGCATATTTTATCTAAACCCTGTAACAATACTGATGGTAGATAGAGACGAAGACTATGCACAGAGAAGTAAAGGAATTTGCCAAGGTTACATGGCTATTAATGTTGAGAACCAGGACATAAGCCCAGATCTTTTGACCTCAGGCCTAATTTGTTTCGTTATACCAAGTTACTTTCCTAAGTGGGGCCAGGTAGTGTCTAACCCCCTTCATTCCTTCATCCTCCGCTCAGTATCCTCCCCACTGAGCAAAGCAGGTTCTCTAGCAATCATGACTGTAGACCATTCCCCTGGCCCCTTTGGCCTCCTCCTCCCCCACACAGAGTCCTCAGTTCCTGGGACTGTGAGCTGAGGTTCAGAGGGGCCAGGAAGGGAGGGGGAGGGGGATGGCTAGCTCCAAAACAGCCCAGGCAGCTGTCCCTGTCACAGAGAGAGGAGACTATGTGACGGGGTGTGTGTGTGTGTGTGTGTGTGTGTGTGTGTGTGTGTGTGTCTGTCTGCTTGAATATGGGAGCACATGTGTGGGAGAGTGTGTGTTTGTATGCCTCTAACTCCAAGTCCAAGTGCTTATTATGTCTGAGTGGGGGCCTGTGTGTGTCTGCATGTGTGTCTGTCTGTCTCTGGGAACACACAGCTTGAATTCTGCTTTCTCAGCCTCATCTTGTACTCGGGCCCTTATCCCTCCTTACTCAGCCTCCCTCGGCTGAAACAGAGGGTGAAACTAAGACCCAGGTATGGAATGCTGGGGGGAGGAAAGTTTGGAAAATTGGAAGTCTGAAGCCAAAGCAGAAGGAAAAGTAGAGAGAAGTGATTGTGGCATTTAACTGCACCCCTCCTTTCCCCAGGGCCAAGCCAACTATTCCTCTTCCCAGGTCCAGCTTGCTCCAGTGGCCTCTGGAGAAGTCAAGGGAATGGTTTGATTTTTGAAGGCATCTTGGATATGAAGTAAGGGAAGACTTCACAGTACCACTTTTCTAGCTCTAAGTCTTCTTCCCTCATCTTCTTAGCTGATTGAAAAAGGGTTTCCAGTCAAAGCTGCAACAGGTCCCTCCCAAGGTCATCTCCCTTCCGTCAGAACATCCGTGCTCCAGATCCGTCGTGGGGTAGAGTTTTCCAGAACCAAACCTCTGGCTCCTGACCTCAGATCTGGAAAGGGAGGTAAGCTGACCATGTTTCCCATCCAGCCTGACTTTCCCCCTTCCTTCCCTGTTTCTCTCCAGCCTTGTCTTTCCAAATCCAAGGAACGGTCCAAAGTCTAATCTCTTTCCGCATGTGGAAAAAAAGCAAAGACTGTTCCTCAGGTTTCTATTTCAACCTCTGTCCCATCTCCAACCTGGCCTGAGAGGTATGTGGGGGTGGGGAGAACAGCTGTGATCTCTGAGCTGGTTGAAGGGGGCACTACCATGTGCAAATACAGGCCGTTGCCCATCTGTGCCTTCCTGAGAAAGGCTCCTAATAAATTCAGAGCAGCCAAGTGACACACATCTCAATTTAGGCTAATCCGACACATTAATGCCACCCCGCACAGCCTGAATTAAGCCCCTGCTGAAGTGAGGGGGGGCGGTGTTGTGGGGGCAAATGGACTCCGCCCACCCAGTTCTCCCATCCTTCCTTCCTTCCCCTCCATCAGTTTTCTAATCAAGGCGTCTGGAGTCTTGATTCCCGTTAGTGCTCTTTCCTTTTCTACCAAAGGGGCTCCAGGGGAGCCTGCAGGAAAGGAGCCTTGGAGGGGAAACTTGGAGAAGGCCCCAAGAAGGGTCCTGAGCAATGTCAGGCTAAGTTTGGGATAGGCAAGGTGGGAGAACATTGGGTTTAAGAAGTCCACATGTATTGCCTGGGTTGCGGCAGGCATGAGGACGGAGCCACGACTGGTAGGATGCTATGTGTGTCAGGCAGGGATAGGAGCAGACATGGCCCAAAAGCCCAGTGTTTTCCCAACTTGTTTTGATTCTGAAACCCTTTCTGGAGAGAAATCAAATGAAATCTCTCCAGAAAACATAAACAAAATAGACAAAAGTAGAACTGCCTTAGTTAAGGATGGGGTTGCTCTGGGTACTACCTCAAACAACAATTTGAAAAAGCCAGCCAAGAAATAACATTAGCTTGGAAGTGTCACAGACCTGGTTCAGAATCCTCTCCTGCTCAGTGACTACTTTAATACAATTACTTCAAGTCCTAGATTCCTTACGTGAAAAAGGGTGTGAATACTTAATCAGGATTCATTTTCGTGAGAGTGAGAGATAATGAAGTATTTATAAATGATGGCCACGACTAGTTTCTTGGTAGAAATACCAGACCTGGTTAAAAACCAAATGGATCCCAAAAAGAGTGACTAAGTAGAGCTTTGGGCTGTATTTCCCATGTGATATGGTGAAGATTTTAAAGATGTGAGAACGTCGTATGTCATGTATAATAGTGCACATTTTTATTAATTCAATAAATGTTTCTTGAAAACCAACCATGTACCAGGCACAGTTCTAAGTGTCCAGCAGTGAACAGAGTCTAATATGCCTATCGGAGCATGAGACCCTTTCTTCTTTAGGCTGATTCTGCTCATTCTATCCTAGGATAATCCACCGGGCTTTAGGTTAGTGGCTGAGAAAGGGGTAACTGGATACCCCTGAGGTTTTTAGCCCCATTTCGTGGTGTCTCATTTCCCCTACAGATCCCTCCCTCCATGGAGTTCAGCCTGCTCAGCGAGGCGGAGGCCCGGAGCCCGGCCCTGTCGCTGTCGGACGCGGGTACTCCGCATCCCCCCCTCCCAGAGCACGGCTGCAAGGGCCAGGAGCACAGCGGTGAGCGCGCCCCCGTGTGAGAGTGGAAGAGATGACAGCTCAGTCCCTAATGCAGATGAGACGTGGGGGTGGAGGCCAGCGAGGGCCGTGAGGAGGTCCCTCGGTGAGGGGCCAGGCAGGGTGGGGAGAGAACCTGGGCCAGCCTGACACCCTGTGACCGACCTCCCACATCTCAGACTCGGAGAAGGCCTCAGCTTCGCTTCCGGGCGGCTCCCCGGAGGACGGCTCTCTGAAGAAGAAGCAGCGGCGGCAGCGCACGCACTTCACCAGTCAGCAGCTGCAGGAGCTGGAGGCGACCTTCCAGCGAAACCGCTACCCGGACATGAGCACGCGCGAGGAGATCGCCGTGTGGACCAACCTCACCGAGGCCCGTGTGCGGGTACGGCTGACCCTGACCCCACTCCAGTCCCCCTCTTCTCCGCCCCTCGACGTGCAGCTCCAGAACCTTCAGCCTGTGGTTTTCTGCCCCATCATCCCTATATTCACATCCAGTCTCCACTGTCCGCCTCCAGTTAACGCTGCCCCGTGCAGACTACTACGTCCTTGTTACTTTTGGTCTCTACTTCACTCCAACCCTCCTTGACCCCATCCTGCTTCTTTCCCCGCCCCAATGCCCGTCGCCTCCCTCCTCCCATTCCACTCATTCTAGTTGATCCGTGATACCCCGCCCCGTCTCCAAGCATTGCATCTTGTCTGCTCTCCGCTGGGTCCTGGGGCCCAGTCCTCGCCTTGGTGCCCGCACCCGAGCCGCCGCCCCCCCCCCCGCTAGGTCTGCGCCCCTGCTGACTCCCCTGCTCCTGCCCAGTCTTCGCCCTGGTGCCCGCCCCCCATCTGCCCCCCCCCCGCTATGTCTGCGCCCCTGCTCGGGTCCAGTCCTCGCCTTGGTGCCCGCCCCCAGCCGCCCCTCCCCAGGTCTGCGCGCCCCTGGCCGCGTACTGACGCCCCTGCTCTGGCGCCCGCAGGTGTGGTTCAAGAACCGACGCGCCAAGTGGCGCAAGCGCGAGCGCAGCCAGCAGGCGGAGCTGTGCAAGGGCGGCTTCGCGGCACCGCTCGGGGGCCTGGTGCCCCCCTACGAGGAGGTGTACCCCGGCTACTCCTACGGCAACTGGCCGCCCAAGGCGCTCGCCCCGCCACTCGCCGCCAAGACCTTCCCGTTCGCCTTCAACTCCGTCAACGTGGGGCCGCTAGCCTCACAGCCCGTCTTTTCGCCACCCAGCTCTATCGCCGCCTCCATGGTGCCCTCAGCTGCGGCCGCCCCGGGCACTGTGCCAGGGCCCGGGACCCTGCAGGGCCTGGGCGGGGCCCCCCCCGGGTTGGCTCCGGCCGCCGTGTCCTCGGGGGCAGTGTCCTGCCCTTACGCCTCCGCTGCTGCGGCCGCAGCGGCAGCCGCCTCCTCCCCCTACGTATACCGGGACCCGTGTAACTCGAGCCTGGCCAGCCTGCGGCTCAAGGCTAAACAACACGCCTCTTTCAGCTACCCCGCCGTGCCCGGGCCACCCCCTGCCGCAAACCTCAGCCCGTGCCAGTATGCTGTGGAGCGGCCAGTATGAGCGGCCTGGCCTGCGCATCACGGTTGATGGCCAGGGTGATCCTTCACATCCTTCCTGGACTGGGGTCGCTTTGACTTGTTTGGCCCCGCCCCGGCCAGGAGTCTGAGAGTAGTGCTTGGGCGGCTGGGGGGCAGCTGGCTCAAGAGAGGGCCTTTTCCCTCCAAGCCCTGAGGCGGGACTGGGTCCTATACACAGACTGAGCCCTTGGGACTAAGGCCAGGGACTAATTCATCTTTGGCCTATTCCATCTTCTCCAGACTCGCTTTCCTCCGTTTTCAAAGATAAATAAATGTAGCGGACTGTCAAAAGTTTGATGACCAAATTGCAGTTTGAGCTCTCTCCAAACATGAGTCTCATCTTCCCCTATTTTTAAAAGGAAGAGTGGTCTGAACAGGGTTGAGATGAAGGTGCCAGCCACCCACAAGATGACAGTCCAGGGATTCCGGGATAAAAGGGGTGTGTATGAGTGTGTGTGTGTGTCTGTTTCCAAGGAGCACAATAGTGGCATTCGGCTGCTCACCCATATTGGGCAACTCAAACTGCCGTGCAAAAGGAGAAAGCTGTGGTCTTCTGCTTGTGTAACACAGCCTTGGAAACGATGGGAACTGTCCTATGTATTTGTTTCCTGGAGAAATGTGTGTACATGAGATGTAAATCTAGAGTATCCCAAGTATGACATGTGTCTTGGGTGCCCTTTGAAGGCACATCAGTGAGCAGCTTCTATTCTCCTCTGTAGTTTCCAGTACTAGCTGAAAGAGATCCTAGCTGGGCCTTTGATGTGTGGTTTGAAAAGCTCAATACTGCCGCGCTGGTTAGCACGGTTAAAGCTGGTGCTGTGGCGCCACTTTGTGGTCTCAGGGAGCATAGTTGGAGCTGATTCTACCTAATGTAGAATAGTAAAAATGATCCTAAATTTTGTAACCTAAGATGCTTGTGACCTTAATTAAGCCATTTTACATTTCTGCACCTGAATTTTGCCAAGTCATTTGAGAGGTCTGGGCAAATTCTGGTGTGCGTTAAACTTTTAATAAGTACCTACCAGGAAAGGATTCTTGTTGAATGTCTGTATAATATGTGCCTCTTATCCTTCCACATACTTTCTTAGGCTGCCTGTCTGCTGATCACTCCCTTTTCAGAAGGTGCCCCATTCATAGCAGAATTCTTCCACCAAGTCCTCAAAGGACCACTCATTTTTTTAAAATATTTAATTAAAATATTTAATTAAAAACCAGCAAGGATTTCTGGATAGAAATATAAATAACTCAGCTCTGAAGCTCTTCCACGGTCCTATCCATTGCCATGCCTACTTGGTCTTCTCATTAAAAATAGAAGCATCAAAGTAGCACACTATCTTCCCATCCTAGGGATGATATTTTGTCTGTCATAACCTCTTTCCATTTAAGGGTACATATCCCTAAGTGGAAACCATGCAGGTATGGCACCCTAATCATTCTCCCAAACCTAAGTTCACCCCATCTGTTCTCTGGGGAGGAGAGAGCATAGGGCTCTTTCTTTGTTTTCTCCAACTCTTCACTGGCTCTTAGTCTTGTTTTTGACCTTGGGTACCAGGTAGGCTTGGCAAAAGAAGTGGGCAAAGAGGATGAAGTAGGACGCATACAAGGAGATGGACCAGAAGAAATGTTCCATTGTGGTGGCATTGCACCCTTGTTCATGCCTCCAGATGTAACTCAGGATGCTGATGACAGATCCTACAATCATCTGCAGGATTTGTAGGCTGGTGATAATCATGGGAAGCATCTTTGGGGGATTCACTTTGGCTGCCTTCAGAGTGTAATAGGAGTACATGATGGAATGTACGCCAAAATTCATGGTCATGAACCATCCACCAGCAACCATCTTGTTCTTGAATCCAAAGCATGTGAACACTAGCACTGTGCTATGGTGGTACCAGTGCACAAAGATGAGCGGTCGCTTACGCAGGATGATGAAGGCTGTGTCTCCTTTAAGAGGGGAAAAGTCAAAGTTGAGACATACTCCCAGGGTTGCAACCATAAGCACCCCCACACCAGGGACACAGGGGAAACTCTCTGGGAAAGAACAAGGGAAATGTGACAGAGAGTTTGAAGAAGAGCTTGGATGACATTTGTTCATGCCCAGGGATGGGAAGGAGTGTGATGGGTCAAGTAACAGCTCTGAAAAGGAATGCCTTGACACTTACCGAGTTCAATGATCTTGCTGAGAGAAAAAATTATGCTCCAGAATCTGATAGTGGGATGGTTGATGAAGGGGGCATAGCACACAGTCTGCTTTAGGCCCTGCCTTAATATCACAGTCCCCATAAAGCTCCATGTCCTCACTGTCCCCACGATACTAAAATTGGACCAAGAAAGGGTGTGAGAGTTATTTCCATGTACCGATCCACCTCCCTTTTGACCTGGCCAGGTCATTAAGCTCCATAATCTCCCTACCCTTTGAGGTGGGAAGGGTGACTTTCAAGAAATACAGTCACAGTTTCTGAGATGCTGGGGCCACTCTGAGAAACATAATGGGACATACAGAAGATATAGAGGCCTGGGATAGAACTAGTGAACTCTAGGGGATGGGACTGAAGACAGGGTTCAGGAGTCAGGTTCTTGGGATTAGGTAGGAGCCACGAAGGTATTGGGTTATAGAATTGAGATGATCTCAAGCATTTAAAGGAGAAAATATAGGAAGGAGGGCTTGGGGAAGTTAATGAGAGATCTTTGGAGAAGAGGTTAAAAGCTGGGAGTAATAAAGGTTGAAAAGATTTGGCAGAAGCACATATACTTAGTGAAATCAAAAGAGATGGAGCAGATATGGCCAGTTTGGAGGAAAAGAGAAACAGGGTAATATGGGAGGAAGAAGGGAGCTGAAGCTGAGAGAATGGTATGGGAAGAATTTTAGGACACAATTGAGGACTAAATAGGGATTGACACAGATGACTTTTCAGGAATGGAGGACCAGGGGAATGGGGATCTAGAGTCTAGATGTTTTCAGGTGTTCGGGAATGTCTTACCTGAAGATGGCAAGGCTAAGAGACCAGAGAAAAAGAGGCTTCTGCAGCTTGAATCCCTTCTTTGACTTCATATAGTTTTGCCCCACAAAGATGAGCAGCAAGTAGACAAAAGCTATGGTGAATGAGCTTGTCCTGGAAGGAAGAGAGAATGGTCTCACAGGTGGGGGCTGGCTAGAGGGGCTTCCCACCTATCTCTCCAGGTGAGTGCTCTGTGTTGGAGTCCAGGCATTACTAGACGAGTAAAAGGGAATGATACGACTTTCCTGGCAGAGTTAGTGTATTTAGAGTACCTGACACAGCAAGGGCTATGTCCAAGATTTTGCTCTATTGTTGGATTTGGGAGTTGTCTCACAGTTGTCTCACCCAGGGCTTTAGTGTACGAAGGCTATCACGATTATTTCTGCATAGTTGGTACATTGGTACATTGACTGGAGCACAAAGTCAGCCCACAGGCACCTTTGAGAAACTCTGAGGTAAAGTCAGAGAGCCTGGGATGAACTTGGAAGACCTCCCTAACTTGGTGTCCTTCTCCACTGCAGAGGAAATAGAACATGTGTGAACAACGTTATAATTGGAAAGGGCAGATAGTCTCCCAGGTGCTTGCTTGCTGCACCACACCAAGGACAGAGAGAGTAATCGATTAAGGTGGGTGGGAGCAGAGTTCCGTTACTCTTATTTTCCCGTGCCTAGACTCTCTTCCCTAAGACTCTTTGGCTTCTATCTCCTCTCTAGTCTTCCCTCCTTTCTCTCATTTCTCTTTACCTTCCCCGCTCTCTTTCAGCTCTAATATCTTCGAGGTGACAATCTTCTGCCCACTGCTTGAAAAGCAGGCATGCATAGGGCTAGTCCAGGGCATTTGCTCTTGATTAAAATAAATGTCCTTTCTCGCCCCACAATAATACTCAGCTGGGTCGAGTCTCTGGCACAGTGCTTCCCATTCCCCCAAATCTCACCAGTAGTCGTCCACTAGAAACTTTAAGTCAATGTCCTCCTCGAATTTGTAGGACTGGAACAGCTCTTTCCCAGTGTCAGAGTTATTCGTGGCTGTGGCCATTTCGTTCTGCAGACGGCGAGCTCTGGGGTCTGGAGAGGTGGGTTGAGTCTGGAGCAAACCTCGATGCTGGATGGGATAGATTCAGGAAGTTAGAAACCTAGTACCAACCGAGGAGAACTTCGGAAGCGGACACGTGCGCTGAACCCCAGCCTGTGTCCACTGCCGCCGGCACTACAGTATATATTGCGGAATTGCAAAACTGCGAGCAATCAGGCGCCCCACCCCCTCCGGCCGTTACCCAATCTCCGCCAAGACACGGCCCAAACCCGCCCCTGGACCGCAACCCGCTATCCGATTGGTCAATCTCAAGGGTACCTCCCACCGGCTCCTCTCACGCCCCGCCCCAGGTAAATACTGTAGACCCTCTCCTTACTAACTTTTCTTTCCCAACTTTTCCACCCTCAGCTTTTTACCTCCGCCCTCGATGACTCTCTAGGTACCGGGAGAGGCACATACTCCCTAGGCACTGTCAACTTTAACCTTTGCCTCAGTGGCTTCAATCCCTGCTTGCATGTTAAGTGAAATGTGCTCGACCTCAGAGATGTCCACATCCCGAGATGGAGGCGTCAATTCCCTGCCTCTCACGGCTGAAGAGAAGGATTACCTGTCCTAGGGAAAGGTCAGCAAAGAGCCTGCCTCTCTCATAGTGTCTCTGCTTCTTAGCTTTGAGTCGGTCTTTGCAGGTGGAATGTAGATGAACTTTAATGAATTGTTGAGGTTGTTGATGTTTGGGGAGGTGGTTATTGAGGCTGTTGTGGTGTCTTTATAATTTCCTGAATCCTTAAACTGCACCAGCTTGACATTCAATAATAACCTTGGGGAAGAAATGAGGTCACCCTCCAGCCTTCTGGAATTACTGTCTCTGGATTCCTGGAGGCCACCTAGAGTATGGGGAGGCGGGACTCCACAGGGGCTGTCAAATATACTTCTTCCTGGGTCTGTGTACCCAGCCACAAAGAAGTAAACGTAAAAGCTTTAGAGATTTTGCTGTCCTTTCGCTTCTCTGCTGAGAAAGGAGTCTTAGTGGCACAGTGAGTTTAGAGTTGAGCTACTAATAAAGACTGGAAGTTCCAACTCAACAGTCCATCATCAGGAGAGGTGAGTCTGGCTCCTCTCTTAAAAATTTACAGCCTCACAAACTCCCTTCCTCCCTCCCCCGCCCCCGCCCACTTCATTCTCAGAAATCCTAGGGGGTTGTGCTCTGTGAGTCTGAATGTACTGGATGGGGGTAGGGGAATAGGGGCGTCTAAGAGAGAGAAATACAGCTTACAATGCTTGCCAGAGTTTTGTGAGTTTGAAATAAAGTGCAAATTTGTTAAACAAGTGATAAAAGAAATGAAAAAAAAAATACTTAAAAGGGTCCCAGGTAGCTCGATACAGTGAAGTCCACGGCCTCTGGGGCCAGAAGGTCCAGAGGAATCTCCACTCCATTTCTTGAACTTTAGTGTCCTTGAAATGAAGAGGTGATAAGTCATAGCCATACTGCCTAAATGACTCTCAAGTGTATCCTGACCACTTCTCACCTGATTAGTACAGTCACCACTGTAGCCTTGTTAGCTGGTTTTATAACTTCTCCTTTAACACACTGCTTCTAATACATTAGATGCAGAAAGGAGTTCCCAAACTTAGCTGATTTTTCAGGATCTAAAGATTCTGGCTCTGTAGATGATTCCATGTTTTGAAAATAATCACCACTTTCTGTTCTTTTTTTCTGCTTAACACTCTTCAGTGACTTTCAGATGCTTCATTCCTTAGCCTGACACTAACAAGGTGATCATCACTTATTTGCTGGAATAATGAAGAAATGAAATGGTTAATATGATAATAATACCATGCAGGTGTTGCAAAACCCGAGTTGAAGTTCCAGTTTCACCATTAGCCAGTCATTTAATTTTTAGGCAAGTTACCTAATCTCTCTAGACATTCTTCATCAGGAAAATGCAAATAGTTACGTGCCTACCTACCTCACAAAGCCTTGTGAGAAGAGACAAGTTAATGTTCTTGTGTTTCATGAATGCAGAGACTGTCTATTTTGCTCAACATTTTTTGTTAATACTGGATACATAGTAGGTACTCAAATAACATTTATTGCTTGAGTGACTGAAGACTCAAATAACACTTATTGCTTGAATGACTGAAGAGATTAAATCTTCAACCTATAAATCTGGGTATTTATTCCATTTATCTAGTATACATACTCCAAGTTTGTCATATCCTTTCTTTCTGAGTTTCAGCTATTTGAAAAGCTCTTGCTATTGTAAATAATGCTGCAAAGAACATGGGTATGCATATGTAATGTTGTGTTGCAACTCTTATTTCTTTGGGATGTATACCTATAGTGGAATTGTTGGACCAAATGGTATTTCTGTTCCCAATTTTCTAAGGAAGTATCAGACTTGTTTTTTGTAGTGGTTGCACCATTTTACATTCTAATCAGCAGTGTAAAAGAGTTCCAACCTCTCCACACCCTCACCAGCATATTCTGTTTGCTGTCTTAATGAACATTGACCTGTTGGTCACTAGAGTTGAACCCGATTCATCTGCACATATAACAATAACAACATTGTTGTTGGGGTGAGATAATATCTCACTTGTTGTTTTGATGGAGTCCATATGGAGTTGCACCGTTAACCCAAAGGTTGCACCTCTCTGGTGAATTGAATCCACCAACCCCCCCTTGGAAGAAAGATGGGCAATCTCCTCCCATACAGTTTACTCCCTCTGAAAACCTGCTGGATGGTCAGTCAGCTATGAGACAGTTGTGATTTAACAGTACACAACAAGAACAACAATGATCTTGAACATTTTTTCATATGTTTATTGCCCATCGGAATGTCTTTTTTGGTGGATTGTCTCTACATGTTCTCTGCTTATTTTGTAATTGGTATGTTAGTCTGTTTTTTTTCTGAGATGTTTGAGGTTTTTTATGCATTTTAGAGGTGAGTCCCTTGTCAAATGTGTTACTACTTATAATTATTTTTCCCCACTGTATAGGTACTCTTTTGGAGAAGTCTTTTGATGCACATAAGAATTTGACTTTAGGAGATTGTAGAAATGAAGCTGGAGACTAAATGATAGAATTATGTACAACCAATGATTTACTCATTACATGCACTTAAAAAAAACAAATGGAAGCTATGCACATGGACCTTATCTGATGGGACACACAGGAATCAGATTGATTACATCTGTGAAAGATATGGTGGAGAAACTCAGTTATCAGTAGTCAAAATAAGGTAAGGTGCTGACTATGGAACAGACTATCAATTACCCATATGCAACTTCATACTGAAGCTGAAGAAAATGAAAAGAAATCCATGAGAAGAAAAACACAATTTTGCCCCTATCCTTACTTAATTAAAATACCATCTCAAGGATAATTTTGATGTGTTGCTCACTGATGACTTAAGACTAGATGAGTTGTACAGTGACATCAAGGAAATCATAATGAGTGAAATAGAAGTTCATTGCAAAAACAGAAAAGAAAATGTAAAAATTAATGTCAGAAGAGACTCTAGGGGAGGGATGGGCAGGGAGAAAATTGCGGCAATGAATGAATGGAAATCCAAAACCTCTGTAAAAAAATATTTTTTAAAAAAGAAGAGACTCTAAAACCTGCACTAGAACAGAGAGAAGCAAAAATAAAAGGAAGAAGTGCAGAAGTAAGAGAGATGAACAGACTGTTTCAAAGGACAGCAGGAGAAGACAAAGTAATGTGATGAAGTATGCAAAGAGCTTGAGTTATAAAATCAAAAGGGAAAAACAAGTTTGACTGTTCAAATCTGAGTCACAGCACCAATTAAAAAAAAAACAAAACAAGTTTGACATATTTCGAAAATCAGAATCAACACTGAACATGCTCATGAACCTATACCAAAAAATTTAAAAGACAGGCCAACAGATTGTATAGATACATAATTGTATTTGCTCCCATTCCAAAGGAGACACAGCAGTATTTGGAAATTATTGAATGATATCAATAATATTAGAGGCAAGTAGAATCTAGCTGCTTCTTGTTGTTGTTATGTGCTGTTGAGTTGCTTTTGACTAATAGCAACTCTATTTACAACAGCCCTAAACCCTGCTCTGTTCCGTGCAAATCTCACTGTCTCCAACATACCTACCTTCATTGCCCCAGTTACTGAATCAATCTACCTCATAGAGGGTCTTCCCCTCTTGCACTGTCCCTCCATCCTATCAAACATGATGTCTCCAAGGACTGACCCCTCCTTGCAACATGTCCGAAGTATGTAAGGTGAAGCCTCAGAAGCCTTACCACCAAGGAGCAGCCTGGTTTAACTCTCACCAGGATGAACCTGTTCATTTTCTTAGTAATCCATGGTATATTCAATACTCTTCTCCAACATGACAGCTCAAAGTTATCAATTCTCCTTCTATCCTCCCTAGTCATTGTCTATCTCTGATACATAGTGAGTGATTGCAAAGACCATGGCCTGTATCAGGTGCACCTTAGTCTCCAGAGTGACACCATTGCTCTTCAGTACTTTGGAGAGGTCCTAACAGCAAACTTACCACCCATCGCGATACATCTTTTAATTTTGTAGCTGCTGGTGCCAAGAGTGTTGACTGTAGAGCCAAGCAAACTAAAGCTGTGAGCAATCTCAATCTCTTCACCATCCATCCTGATGCTGCCAATTGGCCCAGTGGCGAGAATCTTTGTCTTCTTGATATTGAGCCTCAATCCATATTGAAGGCTGTAGTCCTTGACCCTCTGCAGCAAGCACTTCAGGTTCTCCTCAGTTTCAGCAAGCAGGGATGTGTCATCTGCATAACGCCTATTATTGAAGAGTCTTCCACCAATCCTGATGCCACACTTCTCCTCATACAGCCCAGCTTCTCAGATAATCTGTTCTGCATATAGGTTGAAAAGTTGTGGAGATAGGACATATCCCTAGCATATACCCTTCCCAATTTTGAACTATTCAATGTTTCCTTGCTCTGTTCTGATGACTGCCTCCTGGTCCAAGTATAGGTTTTGC